TATTCTATTCTATTCTATTCTATTCTATTCTATTCTATTCTATTCTACTCTACTCTATTCTATTCTATTCTATTCTATTCTACTCTATTCTATTCTACTCTATTCTATTCTATCTTGAAAGTTATTACTGTATTTTCCCCCTTGATAAAGGTGTGTAAAAGAGCAGGAATGCTAGAAAAAGCACCTGGATTTTTTTTTTCTTCTCTAGCAAAGTTAGCATCCAATCTGGTGGGGTGAATTTAATTAGAATAGATATGGAAGGGACCTTAGAGGTCTTCTAGTCCAGCCCCATGCTCAAGCAGGAGGCCCTATACTATTTCAGATAAGTGTCCAGTCTCTTCTTAAAAGCCTCCAGTGATGGAGCACCCACAATGTCTGGTGGCAAGCTGTTCCACTGGTTAATTGTCCTCCCAGTTAGGAAGTTTCTCCTGAATTCCAGGTTGCCTCTCTCCTTGATTACTTTCCATCCATTGCTTCTTATACTACCTTGTGGTGCTTTGCAAAATGAATTGACCTCCTGCTGAGTTCTAGTCTACAATCACCAGGAGATAGTGAGTTCTAGCCCTGCCTTAGGCATGTGGCCTTCAACCAGTCACTTTCTCACAGCCCTAGGAAGGAGACAATGGCAAACCACTTCTGAAAAACCTTGTCAAGAAAATTGCAGGGACATGTCCTGATCATCTCGGAGAATTGGATACAATTGAACAGATATTTTTTTTTAAAGAGCAATATAAGAAGAGAATATCCCCGTCTGACTAATCCTGAAGGACAATATATGCATGGTTCCAGTCTTGTCCCACTAAAGAACTTGAGGACTTCCAGATGTTTGAAACATCTATCAGCTCCCAGCATGGTCGGTTCAGGATACAATGTGAACTGTCGCCCCACACATCTGGGTTAGATTCTCGGATTTAGCTGGAGGACATACAAGTGAGGTCTTCACCCAGGCAAGAGTCTTGTGAAGGACACCTAGTAGACTGAAGCATTGTGTTTCGAACTTTATTTATTTTTATTTATTTATTTATTTGATTTGTCAATCACTTACAAGATAATAGGTGTAAGTATAAACATGAGTAAGAATACAGGAAATAGGGACGAATAAATGGGGACAATAGGACAGGGACTGTAGGCACGATGGTGCACTTATGCACGCCCCTTAAAGACCTCTTAGGAATGGGGTGAGGTCAATTGTGGATAGCTTGAGGTTAAAGAAATGTGGGGTTGGAGGATGTAACAACAGGGTCAGGTAGTACATTCCAGGCATTGACCACTCTGTTGCTGAAGTTGTACTTTCTGCAATCAAGTTTGGAGCGGTTTACATTGAGTTTGTATCCCTTGTGTGCTCTTGTGTTGTTGTGGTTGAAGCTGAAGTAGTCATTGACTGGTAGGACATTGTAGCAGATAATTTTGTGTACTACGCTTAAGTCCAACCCTAGGCGACATAGTTCAAGGTTGTCTAAGCTGAAATTTTCAAACCAAGTGATGACAGAGGAGTGTAATACTCTTCTCATGTTGAAGTTTTTGCATTGAAATGTTGAAGTTGTTTTGACAACTTCAAGACTTGTGGGCTTCACAATTCCCCACCTAGTTGAAGTCCACACTTCTTAAAGTTGCCATGGTCAACCAGTACAATGCTCTACAGCAGGGCTGTCAAACCCATTGTCCACGGGCCGGATGCATCATGCACTTTAGGAAATGGGGAGAAAGTCCCGATATGTCATGTGACACCACTGCGACGATGTGAGTTTGACACCCCTGCTCTAAGGTCATCAAACCACTTTCAAGGATGACTAGAGATTATGTACACTCAGAGTTTCCAAACTCGGAAAGTTTAAGACTTGTGGACTTCAACTCCCAAAATTCCTCAGGGGTCTCCAAACTCTGCAACTTTAAGACTTGTGGACTTCAGCTCCCAAAATTCCTCAGGGGTCTCCATACTCTGCAACTTTAAGATTTGTGGACTTCAACTCACAAAATTCCTCAGGGGTCTCCAAACTCAGCAACTTTAAGACTTGTGGACTTCTGCTCCCAAAATTCCTCACAAACTCAGCAACTTTAAGACTTGTGGACTTCAGCTCCCAGAATTCCCCACAAACTCAGCAACTTTAAGACTTGTGAACTTCAGCTCCCAGAATTCTCCAGCCAGATCTAGAAATCTTTCTGAAGAGTCTGTGGAAATTCTTTCATGAGCCTTTTTTCAGAAAATGGACAAAAATGAATTGAGGATTGGAGGACTTACTGATTAAAAAGTTTGTGGAAAGGAAACATGGTACATCATTCAGGAAATGATAATTATTCGTAAGTGCTGTAAAGAAGATCGGAAGTTGCTCCTTTAGATATTTGTTTCCTTTTTCTCTTAATTTCTACTGCTTTTTCTTTGCTTTTTTCCCCTTTCTTTTTCTTTTTTCTAATTCTTTCTTTGTAGTTCCTGTAGTTTTGCAATCTTTACTCTGCCCCTCCCTCTTGAAATAGCATAGCTAATATCCTCCTACAAAGCCCATCTCCCCTTGATAGCTATCATTGTATCTTGTGGCTGACAGTTCCACAGGTTGAGAATAGAATTCTTTAATGGCCAAGTGTGATTTGACACCCAAGTAATTTGTCTTGGTGCAAATACTCTCATAGACATAAAAGAAAAGATACATTAATTAAGAGTCAAGAATCATCAGATACAACACTTAATAATAGTCAAAGGGTACAATAAGCAATCAAATTGTACTAGGAAACAGTCAATATAAATCGTAAAGATACAAGTGACAAAGTTACAGTCGTACAGTCACAAGTGGTGTGTGTGTGCATGATGAGGAGTTATTAGAAGATTAATAGTAATAGTAGTGCTTTGTAAATAGTTGCACACTGTTGAGGGAATTATTTGTTTAGCAGAGGGATGGCATTGGGATAAAAACTGTCCTTGTGTCTAGTTGTTCTGGTGTGCATGCTCTATAGCATCGTTTTGAGGGAAGGAGTTGAAACAGTTTATGTCCAGGATGTGAGGGGTCTGTAAATATTTTCACAGCCCTCTTTTTGATTCGTGCAGCATGCAGGTCCTCGATGGAAGGCAGGTTGGTAGTAATTGTTTTTTTTCTGAATCTACCAATGCAGTGAAATGCCCTTCTTTTTCCCACTAACTTTCCTGCAATACCACGTTCCAGTATTCTCATTAAGAAAAAGAAGAAAAATATCCTTTCATAGGTAATCCTCGACCTACAACAATTCATGTAGTGACCATTCGAAGTTACAACGGCACTGAAAAAAGGGGGCTTACGATCATTTTTCATACTTATGACGGTTGCAGCATTCCTCAGGGTGACGTGAGGGTGAAATTCAGATATTTGGTCACTGACTCATATTTATAATGGTCCCCTTTTGCGTCCTTCTGACCAGTGAAGTTAATGGGTGGGGGAGAACCAGCTTCACTTAACAACCATGTGAGTGGCCTAACAATGTCAGTGATTCACTTAACAACAGTGGCAAGAAGGGTTGTAAAATGGGGAAAAATTCACCGCATGTCTGTCTCACTTAGCGAGAAAAATTAGGGGCTCGATGGCAGTCATTAAGTTGAGGGTCCCATTCTATTCCCACTGCTCCTGATATGCATTTCAAACTCTTTTTTTTTTCACCATCATCTCTCTTTGCTTGCAGGACAGACGCAAGTTTTCTTTGCAATAAATCCTTGAGATCGTTTGGGTGCCTGCTTGGTTTTGTTTTTTTTTCCTGCACCGCTTCCAGCTCTCCCAAATCTTGCCTGAATTTTGCACATGGGTGTTTGGGATCGTAAATCCTTCCTGGTGTCCCGTTCCGCCCTTATTAGGCACTTCAACAGTTTTATGTAAGTATTACAGCTGTCCCGGAGCTTAGCTTGACAAGAGGATGTTTACAATCCGTGTGTCAACAAAACAGTCTTTGGACCGAATGCCTTTTGTTTCACGGAAGGTGTCAAAATGCATTTTTGTGGGTTTTCTTTTCTGTTTTTCTCCAGATGGGGCTCTGGATCTCCTTAAAGGCTCAGCCAAAAGCTTGTTTGCATGATGGTGGAGGCCTAGTTTAATGTTGTTGTGCAGAAGGAGGAGCATGGAAAATGTTTGTAGGAGTTATGGAAAGGATGGAGTGTGCAGTTCCTCCTTTAATTGTCATCTTTAGTTGCTCTGGCTCCCTCTAGTGTCCAATTCAAATTTCCCATCTTATCAGATTTTCTGTCAAAAAGTCCAAACAACAGCATTTTCCCATGGGAAGGATTCCCACAGTCAATTTCAAAATTTTATTCCAAATCTATCTGGATTTCTAATCTGTTTATAGCTTTCCAAAATCAGCATTCTAATCATTTTTCTCCAAGCTTTTTTTTTTAATTAAACATAAAAAAAAATTCTATGTCTATATAAACAGTGTGTTCTCTTGGATAAAGTTAGTTTTAAGAAATAATCATCATAATAGTAACAATAATATTCATAGCATTAATAATGATCACATAATAAAGTAGTATTTGCTTATCTATTTTAGTGAACCTTCCTTATGTAATTAATCATTCTCTTATGCTTTTAAATTTCTCTGTTCTTTCTGCCAGTCAGCCATTGATAAAACAAACCCCACGTTAAAAAAAATATTCAGTTTCTTCCTCTCCTTAATTTTAAGTGTTAATTTATCCATTTCTGCACATTCTAATATTTTTTTACTACATTTTCCTCTGTAGGGATCTCTTCATTTTTCTTTTTTTCTTGTTCATACAGACACACACAGAGTAACACACACACACACTCACACACAATATATATATATATATATATATATATACATACACACACACACACACACACACAAAGATACATATATACATGTACACACACACACATACCAAAACACACACATATACACATGCTTACATACACACACACATATACACACACATCCTTAAACATCTCTTTAACTTAAAACAAGCTTCTTTTAAAACCTTCTTTTGCTAAGTATTAAACAGAACTCGCCCACTGCATGTTATCAAACTTGTCAATTGACACTTTCTTAATAACTGAAAAGCCATTAAAAAGCTATTTCTAAAAATGATTTAAGAAATGGGGATAGCCAAAGTTTTGTGTCCAAAAGGCTACTTTGTGATTGTGAACATAGATCATACAACATAGAACATAGATGGCTTGCAATGTTCCACGTACAAGCTGACCACTGAAAATTTCTGCAAGTTTACTCATGAGGAGCTGCTGTCTAGAGTACATGTGAGCAATCTCATGTTCTCTCTTTTATCCAGAGAGATTTGGCTGACCCCCCCCCCCCAAAAAAAAAGCCATTTGGCCACCAATCTTGCTGCAATGTCATCTTTGTTGTTTTGGACATTTAGCTGGCTTGATTCTCATCAGGCATTGACTTTGCTGGATGTGAATGAGAGGAATCCACATAAGCCTACTAAAAAGGGGTTTTGTTGGGACAAGGAGTTTTGTTCCAACTTGTCCTTTGAGTAAAAAGGAGGGGAGGTGTTGATTACAAACGGGTTAGTTTGGAGAAATGAACCTTTTGCAGTTCCACTTGTGTTCTGACCTAGGCTTCACGAACTCACGAAGGAGTCAACTTTGTGAGTTCGTGAAGCCTCGGTCAGAACACAAGCTTCAGTGGAACTGCAGAAGGTTCCAAACTAACCCGTTTGTAATCAACACCTCCCCTCCTTTTTACTCAAAGGACAAGTTGGAACAAAGAGGCACGTAGCTGCCAATGTTTTACTCTTGACCCCACCCCCCATAGAATCTCCAAGGGTCGGACAAGATTGAATAGTTCACATCATCATCATCACCATGATGTTGGACACCTATCTGGAATACCCTCTGCCAAGACTGAACTTTTGATTTAAATAAGCATTCGTTGTAACTACTTTGAGGGCTGTGAAGGATTTACAAGCATAGTACAAGATGACTTGAACCATTTAACGGAGTGTAACCCTAATAAAATGTATTTGTAAGTTTTGTAGTGTGCGCTCAGATAAATACCGGAGTGCCAAGCCAAATTGACTTAGTCATCTCAGAAGCTTTTTGAGTTGTTATATTGTGAGGGAATGTAACAGTGTGGACAAAGCGGGGGAAATTACCCTACGAAGGCAGATCTCATGCTAATAATGTGGAACACCATTTGAAAATATGAGAGCTTCGAAAGTATGAGAGTCCTTGGTGATAGCAATAGCACTTAGACTTTTATACCACCTTAAAGTGTTTCACAGCCCCTCTCTAAGCGGTTTACAGAGTCTTGCCCCCAACAATCAGGGTCCTCATTTCACCGACCTCGGAAGGATGGAAGGCTGAGTCAACTTTGAGTGGTCAGGATTGAACTGTTGGCTGTGGGCAGAGTTAGCCTGAAATACTCCATTCTAACCACTGGGAAGGAAGGAAGGAAGGAAGGAAGGAAGGAAGGAAGGAAGGAAGGA